GTCTTTGGACACGTTGCACGGCAGCCGCGAGCCGAACACGGCGCCCCTTCATCCACCCGGCCATCTTCATCCGAGCCATCACAACACCAGCGCGACGGGATCAGCCATTCTCGACACATATTTGCAATTTATCGCCGAGAATTCCGGTTTGACGACGATGGGCCTCAGCCCCGAACAAGCCGCCGCTGTCGCGGCGGCGCACGCGGCCAAGATGGCGCACATGAGCGCCATGGACAAGTTGGGCGGTCGTGGGATCGAGGATTATCCCATGATCGGCCGGGACGAGGGTCGGGGGCCCGGTGTGGTGCACGAGGATCGCCAGGACGCGATGCAGGACAGGCACGTTGGATTGTTGGAGGAGGGGGAGTCGTCGGGGGGCGAAGAGGACGACTTTAGCGAGAACGAGGAGCCGGAAATCGTTAAAGCCGAATAGGTGGCACGCTCGCGGCAATCTGCGACCATAGTTTGTTACACGAGTGACCCGATTATTATTAGCAAGCGCTTTGGAGAGACGCGTTTTTCTTTTTTTTTCTTGGATCCGATCTTGGATCTGGGCGCGTTCCCTTCGCTCGCAGTCAAATCCATCCACTACCTCAGTAGAGACTTGTTTTCCCATTGTTTTCTTTTCGTTGCGGGAGAATAGAATTTTTGTTTTTTTTCTTTTTTTTTTTTTTTTTTGTTTTTCCAAAGAAAAGATGAAGAAAGAAGATGAAACGAAGTCATGACACACACGTATAATTCACACGTTTACATTTATATAAACCGGGCCGGTTCCGATCGGAGAAACGAATCCCTCCTTCGCTACACTCGGAGAAACGGATCAGTGATTTCCGTTTTCCCTTTTACTTTACGAACACGATACATACACACGCATAAAAACACATACCTATACATATATATATATATATATACTCTATCACACATCATGTAAACACGTGTATATGCGCGTATACAGTTTTTACCCCAGTTTAAAATATTCCATCTGTCTACCTCAGTGAACCACGATAAACGATAAGTGATAGGACAGACCAAGACGAATCTCACGGACGACGATGATGATGTTTCGGGAAGAGGAGAGAGAGAGAGAGAGAGAGAGAGAGAATCAGAATCAGGGAGACGATAAAAAGAAATGATATCGCCATGGTTATTCTTCGCATGATTTTTACTCATTTATGAAAAATGATTTATGAATACGAAGAATCAGATATCGATATATCGCGACAGACGTCGTTCAACCGGTTCCAACTGACCGGCGTTTTCACGGTCTCGTCGAAGCGATTGATTCGTTCGTCGAAAAAAAAAACGAGAGATCGTCCCAGCGAATCGACGAAATCTTAGACGAGAGGATGCTAGGGAGGATCAATTGTTCGATTCTTTTTATTTTCTAAAACTGAGCTGTTTGAGAGAAAGAGGGAGAAAGGAAGAAAAAAGAGAGAGAGAGAGAGAAAGAGAGTGAGAGAGAAAAGAGAAAACGGTGACCGTCGCGTATATGTACGCGACTCCCGAGAAGATATTATTATTATTATATTATATTATATTATTATTATATATAAATGTTGAGGAAAAATATATATTGTCTAGATTTATAGAGAAGTTAGTATACCACGACGCGTACGTACGTACGTACACAATACGAATAACAAAAAAAAAAGAAAAAGAATAACGATAATAATTGGAGAGAAAAGGACGCGTTAAAATAACGAGTAGAATGATACACGTGTGTTTAGCGTTAGGGTTTAGCACCCTTTATATTTTTTAGATGCACGCGTGCATCTTTCCAAGATACGTACACTCACTTACAGACGCGAATACACGGCATTACGTACATTAAAATACATACACACACGCCCACACAGTACAATTTTTCACGCATAATTGTACACACATATGCACGTACACACATACACGAGAAAGAGAGATTATGTTTCCGCGCTTGATTTGAATTCGCGCGCGAATCAATTACGTACGGTCGTGTCTCGTCAAGAGTGTCGCTTTAGAATCGCGATGATTATTACGATTGTTAATTATCTACTCGTTTTATCGTAGGAATAATAAAAAGAAAGAAAAAGGCGGGATATGTAAAGTCGGAGAAACCGGGTAATCTCATCGTGTCGATCAATGAAATATTCTCGTTGTTTCTCGTTTCGTTTGTAAACTTAGGTTAGAACGGTGTTCGAACGAAGAAGCTTTGGCTAGCTTTCTTTGACCAGCCAGAAGGGGATATAATTGTTACGATAAAACGTGATAAAGTAGAATCTCGTTAGGATTCGAGAGATGGTCGAGACGATGCGTTCTACTCGGTTCTGGAAAATGGAATTAGGCGAAGTAGCGCGCGAAACTACGAAAAAAAAAAAAAAAGAAAAAAAGGCCTCGCCCCGGGGTGAACAATTAACCTTATTCTTTTCTTTCCTTTTTTTTTTTTTTTTTTCTTTTTTTTACCCTCTTTCATAGTTTTCATTCTTCCATAGAAAATCCGTCGAATTAATCGAAATGGAAAAAGAGATTCATCCCCTAAGGGCTTGCCATGACTTTTCTTAGTACTTAAGTTCTTTATTTCGATCATTTTTCTGTTGAAGGGAACGACACGATTCTTTTTATCCGTAGAGATCTTCTCACAGACGACTAGTTGCTCGTGTATTGTTTTTTGTTGTGTGTTTTCTTTCTTTTCGAAAGAAAAAGAAAAAGAGAGAAGAAACGTGACGCATGAGGAAACAAGGTAGAAGCCACGAGTGGAAAGGAAGAACTGTTTCATCTTTTCTTGAACTTCGTCTTGCTCCTAATGGAGCATCGATCGGAGTCTTTCCGCATTCTTGAACGTGTCGTTAGCTCTGACTCATCTCGATACTCCTCTCTAGCCTCGTTTTATTTATAAATCCGTTAACGTCTCTTCTCGTTCTCTAACGATTTTTCGTTTCACGATAAATTGTATTTCAAATTTTATTTTTTATTTATCTTTTTCTTCTTTTTCTTTTTTTTCCGATCATCCTCGTAAATTATACACAC